TCTCTCATTCTCTCTGTCTCAAATAAATAAATAAAATCTTTAAAAAAAAAAAAAGTCTTAGTAACAGATAGTGGGGATAGTTGTAAAACATTTTGAACACAATGCCACTGAATTAATCATACACTTAATATGGTTAAAATCACAGATTTTATGTTCTATGTATTTTGTCCCAGTAAGAATTTAAAAAAAAAAAATGGGGCTTCCCACTGACTAAGTTCATAGAGCATGTGACTCTTGATCTTGGGGTCATGACTTCGAGCCCCACACTGGGGAGTAGATTGTACTTTAAAAAAAAATCCTTTAAACAATTAAAAAAAAAACAAAACCCTATATATAATATGCAGTGGCAGGCTGGATCTGGCTTGTGGGCTAGAGAGCCAGTTGTGAGCATCTTTTCCCAACTATTCCTTTTGACATTGGTAGCTTGAAATTGGCCATGGTGGGAGTTATTTATATCACAGAACTTAGCAAATGCTACACATAGAGCTCCACTTCAATCCCCTCAAGCCAGATGTTAAATATTTACCAGAACACCACTGAATGTATGTGTATAAAAATGTGTAGAGGGCGCCTGAGTGGCTCAGTCAGTTAAGAGTCTGCCTTCGGCTCAGGTCATGATCCTGGGCTCCTGGGATTGAGCCCCGCATCGGGCTCCCTGCTCAGCAAGGGAGCTTGCTTCTCCCTCTCCCTCTGCCCCTGCACATGTGCTCTCTCTCTTGCTCACTCTGTCTCTCAAATAAATAAATAAAATCTTTAAAAAGTGTAGAAAACTATCTGGAAGGATAGCTGTTACTACCCCTGGGGAGTAAAGTGGTGTTGCAGCAGGAATGTGAGAGTAAACTTAGACTTTTTACCACGTACACTTCTGTGGTGTTTCAATTTTTTTTTACAGTGAGTATATAGACATATAGTTCTTATACTGCTTTTAAATAAATAGAAAAAGAAAAAAGAAAAATCTGCATATGTTGAGATTGTGGTATTCATGACTTTTCTCATAGAGGCTAAAAGCTGGTCACATGTACTGTCTGGAAGGGCCCACAAAGAGGCTGAAGGCCAAGCCTGGTACTTGGATTCTGTTTCCTTTTCTTTTTACCTAACTAATTGGGGCTTTTTTGTCTCTTCATAGGTTACCCTACAGCCTACCCGGCAGCAGCCCCTGCCTACAATCCCAGCCTGTACCCCACCAATAGCCCCAGTTATGCTCCAGGTAAGGAGAAAGTGGAGACCAGCAGTGATGCCTGGGGTGGGAGGTGGGCTCTGTTTGAAAAAACAAACCCACGTGCTGGCCTTTCCCTGTCCTTAATTGCTCTGGACTCAGTCTGTCCAAGCTGGGAGTCCCAGCTAGGAGTCCCCTCTGGGAACTGGGGCAGTTCAGACTCAGGGTTGGGGTGGGAATAGAATCTCCTCCATTCTCTTTGGGACTTAAGGTTGGCCCATCTCTTCTCTCCTGGCATATCTGAGACATGGATCCTCCTCACAGAACCTTTTCTGCTCTCCCAAACAATGTCCAAATCCATTCTTTGCTCAGTTTCCCCTAAGGCTGCCATTGAGACACACAAAGACACAAACACACACTCACCAGACTTCCTGGATGTGGATTTGGAAGAGAGTGAGAGACTTGCCACCAGACGATAAAGAGCTGGTTTTCAAGCTGAGGCAAGGAACCTGTTTTTCAAAAACAACAAAGGCCCAGCACTCCTTGGATAGAGATTGAAATAGCTTTGAAAATGTTGAAAAAGTTTGTTCTAGTTTGGGCTAGGAGCAGTGCAGAGGTCTTACCACTGATACTAACCCTCACAATTAATGGGTTCTCTAACATTCAAGGGGCTGGAGAAAGAGTATGGATGCTGCCTTTAGAAAGTCCTGGGTTTGAATCCTGATTACTCAACTCACTAGTTGTGAGGCCTTGGACAAGATACCTCATCTCTCAGAGAATCTCAGAGAAATGTGTTACTTATCTCAGGGGTGTAGCTGTTTGTTTTGTTTTTAAATATTTATTTGATAGAGAGAGAGACAGCGAGAGGGGGAACACAAGCAGGGGGAGTGGGAGAGGGAGAAGCAGGCTTCCCGCGGAGCAGGGAGCCCGATGTGGGGCTCGATCCCAGGACCCTGGGATCATGACCTGAGCCGAAGGCAGATGCTTAACAACTGAGCCACCCAGGTGCCTCTGTAGATGGTTTTATATAAGTTCCTCTTCATTTACTCAGCAAGTATTTATTTGTTGAATGTCCTGCACACTAGAATAGAGAAAAAGAGTCATCTTTGCCTAAAATAACTAATAGTTCATTTGGTAGTTGGCATTTAAACGAATTTATAGTTGTGTGATGAGTATTGTGAAGGGAATACATGTAGGATGAGAGGAAGCAGAGGAGAGAACAACAGTCTGCCTGAGGTTGAAAGTGTACAGGAGGCTTCACAGAGGGCCTAGCAATAGAGACCTGAGGGAGAAGCAGGAGGCATTCTTTTAAGCACACAAAGGAAGAGTTGGGCATTCTAGACAGAGTAGAGCCTGGGCAAAGGGACAGCATTGTGAGGATATGACAACTGAGGAACCTAGAAGTAGTGAGAATGGTTGAAGCACACTGTGGGGGTGGAGATAATAGATGAATCTGAACTACAGATGTCCAAGGGCAAGATGTGGAAAGGCCTTGAATGCCATGATAACACCTACTTTCTTGTTTAGTAATGATTATTCTAAAGTTAGAAAGCCTAAAAAGATCTTAGAGACCCTCCAGTTCAACCCCTTCTCATGACTTGGGAGATCCAGAGACAAGCAGTGTTTTGTCTGAGTTACCCAGTGAATCAGCTCTAGCATATGGACTGGAACCTTTGGCAGATCTTCTGGTTTTTGGTCTCATGTTTTTCTGGGCCAATCTAGCACTCATCCTACCATCATTCCCTTTCTTCTAGAATATTTATTTAAATGAGAGAAGAACATGGGCTATGTCAGAAGACCTGGATTTGAGTTTTCACTGTCACTTCTTAAAGTAGCAACCTTAAATCACCTGATCTCTGAACCTCAGTTACTTCATTCTGAAGTAGGGATCATTTTGTAATCGTACACACATGCACACACATACTATGAACCCCCTCTTTTTTGGGAGACAAGAACTATTTTATGCAAATAAGTGATGTTAACCCCTAAAGTGCTTACATAGCTGTGTCATTCCACAGACATTAATTTTGGTCCTGCAATGTCCAGGGCACTCTGGAACACACTGGATATTATTCAAAGTTGAGGACGCTAAAGCCATTGCCCTCAGAGCTTGTGAGGGTAGCAGTGACCCACAGGTTAAAAAAAATCTATCTGAGCATTAACAGTTTATTCTATATTCACTTTTAATCAATAAGATATATATTTCAAAAAAATGTATAATAGGAGGCAGAAACAATAAAAGCTGCAGAAATTAACTCTGATAAAAGATTTAATCAAATTTGGGCACCTGGGTGGCTCAGTTGGTTAAGCGACTGCCTTCGGCTCAGGTCGTGATCCTGGAGTCCCGGGATCGAGTCCCGCATCAGGCTCCCTGCTCAGCGGGGAGCCTGCTTCTCCCTCTGACCCTCCCCCCTCTCATGTGCTCTCTCATTCTCTCTCTCTCAAATAAATAAATAAAATCTTTAAAAAAAAAAAGATTTAATCAAATTTGATAAGTTCTGTCTTAAAAACTACAGTGGTTTTCATTATCAAGTATCTCACAATATAGAAATGATTTAAATCTAAATGCTGTGAGATCTGTGAATTGGCTTGGTGAACTCCGTGGTCTAAACCAAAATGAGGCGAGTAGTTGCAGAAGGTCAGCTAAGGTGAGGAACGAAGAAGCTGTGTTGTCTGTATAGGCAGGAGGCTGCCAGGGACGTGTGGAAGCAGAGTCAATGAGATGGTGAGGCTGGGCGCGAAGATGGGGAGTTACCAGAGAGGGCCTGTTCTTACAAGAGGCTTGGCTACGAGGGCAAGGAGAACAAGGGGAGGTGGGATTAAAGGAGGCATTTTTTAGATATGAGCATGGTTAAATAAGTGTTGATGGGTAGGAGCAAGTGGGGAGGACAAGTCAGAGATGCAGGAGGAGGGGTGCCAGAAGGAGCCAGGCCTTCAAGGAGGCTTTGGTGAGGTGTAAATCTAGAGTACTGTTCTCTTCTTTGTTTTGAGGAGCAGGGGGAATGGAGTGCCTCACATAGGAGCACAACTCTTCCTCTCAGACTAAGGAAAAGGTCATGGACAGATCTGCTTAGAATAAATTGCCCAGTGGAAAGTGGAGAGGTCTTGTCTAATGATTTTGATTTGCTGAGAGAGAGGTGAGCAAGAACAGAGGGAGCGTTCTTAAGGAGAGAGGTCAAGGTGTGAAAGCCTTAGTGGAAGGGGAAGGTAACACAGCTGTGTAACAGGAGGTCCCCCTGAGGGTGGAGGCCGTGAATTCAAGGCTCTGATTTCCAGCACTGGGACATGGTCTCATAATGTTCAGAACTTATGGTGATGGTTTGTGGAATTGTTTGAGGATTAGTTTGGCAAGAAAGTGGAAGGACAGAGAATAAAAATAAATAGGTGATATTTGTTGAATGGTTCTCCATGTGCCAGGGACTATTTTAAGCTTTTTATGGATATTGACTTGTTTTCTATCACAGCAAACCTTTGAAAGTCATTACTATTGTTATTCCCATTTTCCAAGTGGGAAAACTAAAATTTAGAGAAGTTGGGAACCAGCCCAAAGATCCAAACCCAGGCATCCTGCTATGTGTTCTGCAGTTGATCAGAGAGAAATTAAGGAGTTAAACTAGAGCAACTAGACTAGGGAGAGCAGACAGGAGGAGCCTGGGACTGTGGAATAAGGAGATGAGATTGGAAAGCTCCTGGCATGTGTAAAGTAGTAATAAAGCTTTAGTTTTAAGACATAAAATATCAGCCCTCACCTAACTTGATCTTCCCCAGTTTTGTGTTTTCAAAAGTTCAACATATTTGTAAGCTATGACTGCAGCAACCTGACCATTTCCTTAGAAACCCATACACTATAGAGGGTGGTGTTAACAGATTGTGCTGGAAAGCCCCAAACTAGGCATTGGAAGGACTGGGGTTACAGCCCTAACTCTTCTACTGATTTTGATGTGACCTTGAGCAGATCCCTTTCCTTTGGAGTTAGACACACACACACACACACACACTCACACACTCACCTACGCATGCACGCACGCCCAGCTGGTCTCTTTCATATTTTGGGAGACCAGCCTCAACATTCACCAGCTCTCCTGACTGCCGTAGGGGAGTCCTGCTGAGGAAGGGCTGGCTCAAGGACAGAGAGGGCAGTGTAGGTTCCTCTCAGCTTCCGGCCAGAACCAGCTATTAGTGATGCCGGGAGATGCCTGCAGGGTAGAAGCCTGCAACGGAGCCAGGCTCTTGGGCTTAAATTTCTCTCAGCTTCTTCCAGGAGGCCAAGAAGTTGCTTTAAAGAGAGCTATTTTTAGCAGCTCTGAGTACTCTAAGATGTCATCTGTTCAGGATGCAGGGAAGCATTTCACTCTGTCATTGGTTCTGAAAGCAGTGTGGGTACTTGGAGCTTTTTTTTCCAAGCCCTTAATGACTTCAGGGATCTTATTTAAGAACTGTTTGGCCCTGCAGGAGGCAGGAGCCAACTGAGACTTGTTTTCAGAATCTGGAAACCAAAGGATGTATCACATTATTGGTAATCTGACTTGAAAATGAAAGGATAAACAGAATAACTAATATAGATAGAAATGAAATACCTCGTCACAAGAGGTCTGTTTATAAATCATTCATCTACTGTCTCACTTGATTTCATTGCAACTTTATAAAGTACAAATATATTGTTCCTATTTTGCATATGACAAACCTGAGGAAAGGCAAGGGAAAGGAATATGTGTTTTCTGAATACCTGCCATGTTCCAGGCACTGTGTAAGGCATGTCACAAATGTTCTTACTTTAGTCTTGTGTGAGTTGAATCTTCCTACTTCCAGTTTTGCTCAGAGGTTAAATAACTTGTCCAGAGTTGCACAGCTAAAAAGCAGTGGAGCTGGAATTCAAACCCAGTCTGTCTGACCCCACAGCCTGTGCTCCTTCTAAAGCACCACAGTCTCCCAGAGGTTTCAAGTGAAGTATCCCTGCATTGGTCCTAGCCCTCTGGGGCTTTATGGAGAGTTCTTCAGAGGCCAAAGGTGATGATTTTGTCCCTGAACCTTACTTCTTCCTCTGGTACTATAAAGCCTCCGTCATGTGTGAAGTCCCTCTGGTATGCAAAGAACACTAACTTGGGTCAGCTACCTGGAAGATGTCATGGCATCAAGGAAGTGCTTCTCCTCAATGAATGGGCTTTCCTGGATGGCAAGTCTGTCATTCCTTCCAGGGTAGAGGCACTTCACACCCTCTGCATTCACTGTTTCTTATGTCGCCCGGGAGAAACTGCTATCTTGAGACATTCTGTTTTTGTAACTGCGATGTGTACTACCTTGCACAAATTCTTAGTGGTAATTTCAACTAACATTTCTATCCAACAGAGTTTCAGTTCCTGCATTCAGCTTATGGTAGGAGAGCTATTTTTCCTCATCTGTATTATGGCCTATGAATGTGTTATCTCGTAACAACGGTAGATCCCCTCTCCTTCCCTCCCCAAATCCCATCCCTTAGGCTTGGGCTCCCCCAGGTGGCTCAGCAGCAGTTCCTAAAGCATGCAGGAACATGTCTGATGGTGCAAAATCATGGGTTGGAGACACACATCAACCGTCCCCTAGGGCAGCAATGAAGGATCATGGCACTAAAAGGCGTCTTTCCCCTTCCTCACCTCCGGCGTCCTGTCTGACCTAGGTCAGAAACTTTCATCCTAACCTGATTGCTGAATTCAAACAATCCAGTGAACAAAATTCTTCAGCCTGTATGGCTCCTCTCTTGGCTTTGTGGCAGCCCCTGTGGAGGAGTACCTGGATTACGCCTATAAGAACCCAAAAAAACAGTCTGCCCCAGGATCAGATTTTCCATCTCCATTGGCAGTCTGACATGTTTGAAGACCTGGTTGACTTTAGATATAATCTGTTCCCTTAGCCCGGATCTTGAGCTCTGGCTCATTTTCAGGGCATTTTCCTGGATGGTGAGAGGTGAGGGCCAAGTGTGCTAAATAAGTGAGGTCCCATGGGCAGTGTGGACTCCAGGCCCAAGGCACCACGGGAACTTCTGGGCACCTGTGAGGGTCCCAGCAGTGTAACTGGACTAGGTCCTTTTTGTCACAGACAGTAAGGGACCATGGGAGGGATTTGCCACTTTCACTACCCTCACCTGGGCTGCTCAGGACAATGTTTTCATTAAAATCTCTGCACACTTTCTCAACTTTTAACCTTGAGTTATTTGGATGTTGAATATTGAATTTGTGTGTGGCGCATCTTTCAGGAGATGAGCTGTGAAAATTTCTCCTTGCTGCTGCTGTGGGCTGTGTGATCTTGGGCAATTTGCTAATGTCTCCAGACCATAGGTAGTGTTTTATTCCAGATGATCTCTTAGGTCCCTTTAAATGTTAACAGCCTATCCTCTTATGTATTATTTTAATTTTTGCTAGTCACAGACCTGTTTCTCATTTTTTGTTTGCCTCAGGATATATGAACTTGGACAGAAGACTCCATAAAAAGTGAGAGAAGCTCTCATGCTTCCTTACCCCTCTAGTTATAGCATCTGAAATAGAAATACTAAAAAGTATGTGTAGAGCTCTTCTCTTCACAAAATGTTTTGTGCCAGACCCTACACTGGCCCTTTAAAGATAAAGACCATAAGACAAGATCCCTATTCTAAAGGAGCTCACAGTTTAGCCGGGGAGACACACAAGCCCCAGCAAGGGGCTTCTAAGAATCACAGAAATTGGAATAGCGAACCATATGGGATATATGTAGGGACTGTGGTCAAAGGGTGGGAAAAGAAAAGACTTCATAGTAGAGGCAAGTTCATGATTGGTGGATTAATAAATTTTTACCAGGTAGCATTTGGGGAAAGACATACCAGGAAGAGTGAACAATGTGAGCAAAAATATAGAGATGTGACTGTGACACTCCTTGGCATAATCTGGGAATGATAAAGTTTGTGTGGCTGTAGTGTAGGGTTGGAAGGTGAGAACAGTGAGAGTCTAGAGAGATCACAGGGCTAGATCATGAGGGGCTTTGAATGCCGTACAAGAAGTTCAGCCTTAGCCTGTAGGCAGTGGAGAACCATCAAATGTTTTTAAGATTTTGTGATTAAGTTTGGGTCTTAGAAATATCTCTTGATTGCAGTTTGGAGATTGGAGTTGGCAGGTTTAAAAACAGAATGATTAGGAAACTGTTGCTGTAGATCAGTTAAGAGATGATGAGAACTTAAATTAGAGCTGTCCATAACTATGGGGATGGAAGATGAGCAGATGCCAAAATTAGAAACTCTAAGACTGGATGACACTTCACTTTTGATCCTCACATGAACAGTATGAAGCAGTCAGGGAGAGAGTATTACTGCTATGTTATGAGACAACAGAACTGAAGCTTAGGAAGGTTAGGTGACTTGCCCAAGATCCCCCAGCTAATAAGTGGCACAGCCCAGGTTAGAACTCAGATTTCTTGACTTACTGCATTATTCAGGATGATGGTCCCTTGCTGCCTCTCCTCCTTGTAAGTGTGCTTAACAGATTGTTCCAAGTGTCAGAGGGCGAGAGGGCCCCGTATCCCAGGAAGTGAACAACCCAGCACCTGGATGTGGGCAGCATGCTGTGACTGGGCCATGGCCCTTCACTGCCAAGGGTTCTCTCTGTCTCTGTCTCTCTCTCCTTTGTGAATTGAGGAATAACACATATACAGTAGTACATAAAGTGTACTAGTCTCAAATGTACAGCTCAGTAATATTTGATATATGTATACACTTGTATTTAACTACCACCCAGTTCAAAATATGGAACATTTCTAAAAGTTGGTACCTTCCATGGTACCCAAGAGCAGGCATGCCTGCCAGAGCAGCCTCCTCTCTTACTATGCCTCCAAAGTTTCCGTTGGATTGTCTTCCCCACAACTGAGCTCTGAATTGCTACCACCAACAGAATGGATTACTTTAGAATTGTACATGGAAGACGAAGATCATTTGGTACAACCAACCAATGAGGAAGTCAGGTTGACAGTTAATATTTGTTGGTTTTCCTGGTCTTCATATTTGTCCAATTATTTAAATTATTAAGTATTAAAATATAGAGAGAAATGGAGAAAATACTAGTATTTGTTTTCTTTTTCAATGAAACCAGAAGAAAATATGCACGTCTTCAAGAACATACGTAGTTTAGTTCACTCACTTAGATAAGACATAATCAAAGGCACAGTCGCACTTGCTTCTTTCCTGGTTAATCGGGAATGTTATTTTATTGTGTGTAATGCTGTCTTGTTCACTCTCTGGTTGGCGTGTGGCTGTGTTGCATCCCCAGCTGGCCCATGAATACCTTGTGTGCAGTGACCATGACCCACGTGTGTTCCTGTCCACCGTGGCACTCCCCTCAGTGCTGAGTGCAGTGTAGGCTTCAGTTACTCTTTGGTTAATTTTGATTTACTTTGTCATGCAGTCCTTCAGACTAATGTCAGACTTTTGGCTTATGATGAAAATTATGGTAAATTATGCACCACTTGGGGAAAAAACTGGACTGGAACAGGACACCCAAATTCTCTGTGGCTAAATTCAGGCCTCCTGCTTCCTTATGGAGTCCCTATGGGGTCTTGAGGACATGTGACTTCTCAGAACTGCATGTTTTACTTTTTAGGGAGTTGTTTTGAGTGACCAGGGCTTCCCAGCCACATTGAGTGGCGGGTTCTAAATTTGGAGACATCTTGATAAGAGGTTTCAATACTAATTGGATCCTTTATTAATCCCAACTCCCCTCCCCCATGCCGGGGAAAGGAAACCTTAAGATAATTGTTTAAAACTGACTGCCCTCCTCCAGGTTGTCCGTCCGCAGAGCCATGTCTTGATATCCAGCAAAGGCTTTGGACTCTGCATGGAATTCTGCTGGATCTCCATTTCTTCTGCCAGAATTCTCCTTTTAGTGTCACTTTCCTGCCCATGATTTCCTTCTCATTTCTCGGCATCTGCTGTATATATTGCGGGCCATTAATGCAAGTGCAGTGTCAGCCCAGAACAGCTACACTTCTAGCCTTAGTTCGGCAAAACAACAGAGTCCTTGACCTCCTCCTCTGGCCCCAGTACTTCCGTGACAGTACTTCCCCAGTACTACCTGTTACCCGGTTGGGCAGAGGGGTTATGGGATCTCTCTGGAGGTGGACTGCCCTTGCCTTGGTGGAATTAGGGTGTATAGGCATACTTCTCATGCCACCCTGCTTTACCTTAGCCCCTTGTTAAAACATTTCAAGCGTATACAGCTGTTACCAGTGTAGCCCCCCGTCCTGCTAATGTTCTTTAAAACCCCTCATGTCCAAGATCTTATCTGAGTGCAAAAGATACTCTTAAAATTATTCTTCCTACTCTAAGAAATTTGGGTCAAAAATGGTTTCTCCTCTAGGAGAAAGTATATCAAGAGAAATCTCTAAGAAGTTAGGCATTTTCCCCCCTTTGAAACCCTCTTTCCTCTCTCCTTTCCCACAGGATACCATGAAGGTAAGTTTTTTGAGTCATTCCCCACTTCTAGATCCATATGAAGCATCATCCTTCAAATTTCTCAAGCTGAGCTTCAGGTCAGCCTGGGAAGTCTCTGAAGATTTCTTTCAAACTGGGCCGCATCTCTGTTTTACACCTGCCCCACGTTTGACATAGAATTTCTTATTGGCCCAGCAGATCCTCTCTCATTCATGAGGGGACATCTCAAGTGGGGCACCAGCAGCACCTCCCCAGGAGGTATAAAAGGTGTGTAAGAGGTTTATCTGTCTGGCCTTAGCTGGGTGTACAGGAGAAGGAGTGGGAAGTGCCCCACTGGACAACCTGTGCCTTCTGAACTGCCAAAGCTCAGTCCCTTCAGAAGAGATGACAGTCCAGCAACGTTCATATCACGTGGTAACTCTTTTGAGGTCTCTCTTTGAGAACAACTTATTAAATACTGCCCCCCAGGTGAGATTTCAGGCATAAAAAATGAGTACTCAGTTGATCTGGCCCAGTACACAGTCAGAGGCTCCCAAGTTGCTACATATTAAGAAAGCGGCTAAGGAATATCCCAGAGCCTTAGGCCAGAATGTCAGGCAGTAGGAGGTGGGATTCATAAGCATCTTCATGGTTTTTGGTAGTGGGTAGAAAATCCTGGCTCTCTTAGGCTAAGTCAGATTTCCTTGGTTTCAGATCATTTGGAAGCTCACTTCAGCACTCCTCCCAACCCACTCACCCATCTCAGAAAGGCTGAACCATCCTGTGTGTCTGAACAGGGCCCCTTGGGTTATATGTTTCCATCCAGCACAAGACCCTTGCTTTGTGTCTGTGATTGTGGTGCCCACTTCTTATTTCTGCCTAATGCCATTCTTGTGTCTTCCCTTAAGCAACTCTGCTGATGAAACAGGCCTGGCCACAGAACTCGTCTTCCTGTGGTACTGAAGGCACCTTCCACCTCCCAGTGGACACCGGGACCGAGAACCGAACTTACCAAGCATCCTCTGCGGCTTTCAGTAAATACAGCCTGTCTCCTCCTTTCCTTGTGCCCCTTGGTTGGGACTGATTTGTCTCTTAGGAAGAAAGGAAAGGGAACTTTTACAACTGACATTATAAGACACTGTTTTTTTTTTTTTAATTTTATTATGTTATGTTAATCACCATACATTACATCATTAGTTTTGATGTAGTGTTCCATGATTCATTGTTTGCGTATAACACCCCGTGCTCCATTCAATATGTGCCCTCTTTAATACCCATCACCAGGTTAACCCATCCCCCTACCCCCCTCCCCTCTAGAATGTCCAGCTTGTTTCTCAGAGTCCATAGTCTGACAGGGTTCGTATAAGACACTGTTTTAAGAGGTTCTCCTACTCACACAAAAAATTGACCTTCCTCATCCAGAAAAGGTCATCCTCTTTGATCATGTACCCAGCTTTGGGGAGACACAAAGCAGTGAGGGAGGGGGGAGGAAGTATGCACCTGGCCAGCAAGTGTGATTAGGAAGAGCTGGTACTGCATTTCAAAGGAAAGAACAGAGGGCACCTTTGAAGGCCAGTGGACCCTGGGACAGCGAAGACTCCTCCAGCTAGCACAGGGTTTCTCAGCCTTGCCACTATGGACATCTGGACCAGATGCTTTGTTGTGGGGGGCCAACTTGTACATTGTAGGATGCTTAGCAGAATCCCTGGCCTCAGCTCCCTGGATGCCAGCAAACCCTCATTACGGCAACTAAAAATATCTCTAAACATTTCTAAAGATCTCCTGGGGAGGCAGAACTGCCCTCCACATGAGAAACACTCCCTAGCGGAAGCTACACCATGAGAGCAAGGTGTGTACATGGAGTCCTCAGGGAAGACAGAAACCATCTGTCCAGTCAGATTGCTTACATTCATCTTGAGGTTCAGTGGGGTGACTAATGGTTTCACCTTCACACCTGATTTTTAATACAAGAACGCTCCCCTGGGTAAAATGAGGACCGGTGTTTAGAAATTACTGAGTGGCACTTGGACTCCATAAGAAGACTTTGTGCCTTGTTGGAGCTGTCCAAAAGAGGTGTGGCTGGCTTTGGATGGAGGGGGTGCTTATTTCTTAAATTGTACCAGCAGGGGCTTGACGTACCCTTGGAGGGAGGCTGCAGACTAAGCCTGATAGTCTGTGGTTCAGTATATTATTACTCTATTAAATAGATTAGAAGAAAATGCTGCATTTTTTTTCTTTTCTTTAAAATACCCATGTTATTTTCTCTTTAGTTACCATTGCCCCTAGATGTTAACATCAACTTACATTTAAACAACATAACTCTCACCTGTTAGAGGATTTGCTTTCATAATCACCCTCTCATTTAATCTACACTAGAGTCCTATTATTATGGTGGATTTTCATTCAAGTTTGAAAGCTGAGGCTCAGGAAAGTAATGTGTCCAGTGCCATCCAAGTAGCAAGCAGCACAACTAAAAAACGATGATATCACTCAGGTTAAGTTTCAGGTTAAATTTACTGACCTTTTTCATGAGATTAATTTTATTTGTTCAGAGAGGGATGGCAGTAGTAGGGCGTTTTTCCAGGTACCTCAGGTGGAACTGAATGAACATATAGGTAAACAGGCTTATACATACATATTTTCTCTTAAATCCACACATATGGTCATAGATGTATATAGACACACCTACTCTAGTGGAACAGAAAGAGGCCTGGAACGGAAACCAAAAGAGTTGGATTCTAGATGTGGTTCTGTGTAACCTTGGATAATTTATGTCCATGGTTTGGACCTAGGTTTTTCCAACTGTAAAATGAAGAGGCAGAATTAGGTTATCTTTAAGTTTCTCTCTAGCTTTTAGACTCCTGATTCTGTCACCTTGATGCTGTGTACACAGTACCCACCACCCAGCAGGGACCTCCTTTCTAGCTGCCTTGCCCATGTTGACTGACTGGCCTTCACTCCCATAGCCCCAGGGCACTCATTCCCTCCACAGGCCACCCCTTCTACGGTGAGAATGTCTGAATAATAGAAGGCTTTGCCTTCCCATGTGTGGAAATCTTCCTGAAGCCCCATTGAAATGTCCAGCAGCTCCTCCCACTGTCCTCTCACAGGCTGTAACATTTCCTGGAAAGGACCAGAATGCACTCGTTCTCCTTTAAGCAAGTCCTGTGTGAACCTGTGCAATTGGAAAATAGAAGTGGGCTTGACTGACCCTCCCCCATCCACCAGGGTTTCCCCCAGCACACAGATTTTGTGGCTTCTAATGCCACAGAAAATTCAGGGTACTTTGACAGATTCAGTTTTACTAACACTTGCTTAAGCCTGTTTGTAATTAGGTCTCCCCCCTACTTACTCCACACTCTCTTGTTCGGCTACCAACAAGGAGACTTGGGGGGTCAAGGCAAGAGTCAGACATAGAGCTTTGTTCAGACATACAAATCTGATGGTCAATAAACCGATTAGTCTAAAAGGCATCCTTGATGTGAGGATCAATGCCTTTAAGGTGGTAGGGGCTCTCCAACTGAAAAAGATTTATGATAGTGCAGAAAGATTGAAGGGAGGGCTGAAATGGCTTTATCTCACCAATGTACACACTTTATTTATTATCCTATTTGATGGAGCCTAAAATTATAGTTAGGAACCTGAGAGAAAGAATGGGGCCTCATAAAACCTCTTTTATAAGGCAGAGCAGGGACTTCTAGTGATCTAATTCCTTTTTTTTTTTTTTTTCCTGTCATGATACTGCCTTTAGTAAAATAAGGACACAAAGGCCAATATGTCAAATGTCCAAAATTGGACTGCAGAGACCTATAACTCAGAAAGGAGCCCTGCCCAGGGCATGGTAAACCCTAAACTCTGAGTCCAGCTCTCCACTGATTTGCTGTGCAGTTTTGGGAAGGTCGCTGTTCCCATCTCAGCTCCAGGTTCTTCATTTGACATGTAGAGTTGAATGCAAGTCTCTAATGTCCTTAAGGCATAGCATTCCCAAGTCCTAATTCTGTAACCTTCAGGCTTAGGTAGAAATCCATTCACAAGTGCCAGGCCTCCAGTGAGGGAGCTGAGTCTGAGTTCATGTGAGCAAAATCTGAGGGTTTTTTTGCATCCAGCCTAACAGCTTCTTTTACTTAAATGCAGAGTAATAAATCCTAAAATTTTGTGTTACCCAAGGTAGCCCAGGCTCCAGCCCCAGGGGAATTTCTAATCCTCAGTTGTATGGACAGGACCACCAAATCAGTTATAGAAAGTCCTCTGCAATGATTTTCTCATGAAAGTTTCACTGAAATACTCAGAGACTTAGAACACCAGCACTAGAATGGTCTGCTGATATTGTCAAGTCCAAATGAGGGTATTCCTTGAGAGAAGAATTGACCTGACTCACGGACAGAGCCCAGGCTGGGGGCCCAGGCAGTTTCTGCAGCCTCCTGAGCCAGATGGAGACCTTGAGAACCATTGTAGTTGGAGGAAGGAGCATTGAATCCTGAGTCCTGGGCGAGCAGTTGTGCTCCCTCAGCCATCTATTCCTCATCTCATCTGTGAAATGTTTGTGTTGGGCTTAATGATCTCTAAGGTCTCCTTTAGTTCTGCAATTCTACTTCTCCCTTCTCAAACTGTCCGGACAAATGAGCAGGGCCTTCTTCTGCAGCATTGTCTTTTTGCCAGCCAAGGGCATTTTGGCTGCTGATTTGTATTCTGAGTATGTGTGTATCTCATTTTGTAACATGAAGAAAGGGAAACATTCTCCGACAAAGTTATTCTTAGATGTGGAAACAAAATTCTCCTGTAGACTCTTGGAGCTTTTTTATTTTCCTCAGAGAGGGAACCTCAACACTTGCAAGATGATTGTCCTTGCCGCATAGAGGGGTAGTGCAGGCTTCCCCTGGGGATAAGAACTCCAGAGCACATTCTTGGGGAGCATAAGGGAAAGATGCCAGCATCATTGGCTTGTTAATTTTAAAGAATTATAAAGTCATGGTGTTTTGTTTTGTTTTTTTTAAAGATTTTATTTATTTATTTGACAGAGAGAGCGAGAGCAGGAACACAAGCAGGGGGAGTGGGAGAGGGAGAAGCAGGCTTCCCGCTGAGCAGGGAGCCCGATGTGGGACTTGATCCCAGGACCCTGGGATCATGACCTGAGCCGAAGGCAGACGCTTAACGACTGAGCCACCCAGGCGCCCAAAGTCATGGTGTTTTAAACCATACGGTTTTAGAATCGTAGGATCCTGGAGTCTGTGTTCCAGTTTGGATTGCACCATGGAAGTCATAGCTTAAGCTCTCTACTGTAGTCTTGCAGACCAGTCTCTGCTTGCACATCCCCAGGACAGGAAGCTTACTATTTCTCTACACAGTGAGAGAGAGAAAAGAGTAATTGCTCACTTTTATGAAGTGCTTTTAATGTGTCAGGAGCTATTCTAAGGGCTTTGCAATTATTAATGTGTTATCAGAGTAATCCTATGAAGTAGGTACTGTTGTTATCCCCATTTTACAGATGACGAGACTGCTGTAGTCTGTAGCTATTAAATAGCAGGGCTGGGGTTCAGACCCAGGCAGTCAGTCGGGCTCCAGACTACTCATAACAATTACACTGTGCTGTGTAACTTTCAGAGCAAGCTTCTTAGGATTCAGGGGTGTCCTGCCCTTCTGCATAGAAAAGAGATGCTCTCCACTCTAGCAGGACTCCTCATACCTTATTTTATTCCTCAAATCAGGAGTCAGCAAGCTTTCCCTAGAGAGGGCCAAATAGTAAGTTCTGTAGGTTTCTCGGGCCATATGGTCTCTGTCATAACTACCATTGTAGCAGGAAAGCAGCCATAGCTGATAAGTAAATGAATGGGCATGGCCATGTTACAGTAAAACGTTACTTCCCAAAATAAGCTACGATTACAAAAAAAATTAGAGTTTGTATGTTTTATTTATTTGTTTGTTTACTTTTTGTAATCTGTACACCCAGTGTGAGGCTCAAACCCACGACCCTGAGATCAAGAGTCACATGCTCTTCCAGCTGCGCCAGCCAGGCAGACCTCCCTGTAGTTTGTGTGCTTTAAATGTTAATAGCATGAATAAAAGTTTTGGTAACAAATAAATTTGGAAATAGTCTCCTGCATATCCCTGTCTTGGAGATTCATAGTTCATCCTGTCATTTAAAACTTCTCAGGGTCATGGAATAAAAAACAAACTATTCATCTCTATTCTACATTGCTGCTACTCTTTTTGTTTTTGTTTTTTTTAAATGATTACAATCCTTCAGAATTATATAGTCCATTGTACAGGTATGGGACATGCCCATTTTGAGAGCCCCCTTTGTTTTACAGATAAATTGTGCCCCCAAGGTGAAGGAGCTCTCAGATGGCTCCTTTCAGATGTCACAAACCTAGACTTCCTGTCTTCCCCTACAGTATCTGCTTCACCTGCTCTAACCACGTATCGTATTAGCACCACAGTCTAGAAACTTGGAGGAATCTGCTCCATACTTCTCTCTCAGCTGACTCGTACCTCCACGTCTAGTTTCCAGTTCTTCACAATGCTACCTTCTCATGCATGTGTTCTTTCCACACCATCCTCATTGCTACTTTTTTCCCAAGCATATTTGACCATAAAACCAGTTTCCCATGGAACAAACTGGTTCTGAAAGAGGGAAGAGTAAATGGCATGATTCCAGGGAATAGGACAGGACACCTTTTGGTGGTACCTTTTGTGACGATCAAATAGCAGCTCTCCTGTGCTACTGAATACCTCATCAGGGGCAGGGGGATGCCAAGTCAGTGCTGTGGACTGAGAAAGATTTGTGACCTTATGGCAGCTTGCTTTTACTTAGGGTTAAGGTAAAGAGACTCAGGATCTTTAGAAAAATGGGATTTTAGTTCAGGAAGAGATCTTCATTCTTAGCCTTCTGTTTTAACAGAATAGGAAACTAAGGCCCAGAGACTCGGCAGTAGTCACCGCAAATTGGAAGAAAGCCTGAACTGAAGCCTAGATCTGTTCTCTTCCAATAAAGCACCCCTCTCCACTCTGCCCCTCAGCCCCTTATTGCAGAATCAGCACCATGTTGCTGACAAAGTCCTTGGTGAGCATCCTGTAGGTAAAAGCTGAGTTGAGGCCTGGAGAAGCTCAGTCAGACTGAGCCGGAATGAGAAGCACAGGGAAGAAGTTCCAGCAACACCACATTGGAGAGCAGAAGCCAAGGTTTCCTGGCACTGGCACTTCAACTCAGAAAGAAGTTGTTTCTGAAAACACTTGCCCTTTCTGAGCCCTTTGTATAGAGTAAGAGAGTTGGGGGTCACTTGATGATCACTTGGTTTCCATAGAATCATTTCATTTTGTGTTCTAGAAAAACATAGTCTTGTTCCTGAGTGATTTATGTTTCAAGTTTTTCCTGCAGACATAGATTCTGACTCTATTTTCCAGAAGATTCAAAGGCAGCACAGTTTGATTGAATGGCTGATTGTGAACTCCCTGGGGCCGGGTTCCAGGCTGATGTGAATTTTTGTGAGCCCTGACTTCAGGCCTTTAGGCCACAGCAGTCCTTCCCTGAGCCCCAGGAGTGGAGGAGAGTCTGGCTTTGTGGAGCAGTTCTGCCGCATCTGAGGAGATGAGGGTCTCTGAATGGTGTTTTCTGTGGGCTTTTGGCCTTAAAATTTGTCGGGGGAACATGGTAGAGAGAAGCCCAAAAAGAGAGATACAAGGAGAAAAAGAGAGAGTCGGGGGGAAAACAGAAGAGAACCAGCAGCGGAAGACGCCCTGGGCCGCTGAGGGAGGAGACAGACAGCAGGAAGACGGAGCGCCGTAGCGAGCGAGCAGACACACGCGCCCGTCTCCCGGTACACAGAACCCCAGACTGTCCGAGCTGCAGGGTCCCTTAAGAGATCATCGGGTTCCAGCCTCTTATTTTATAGATCATACCCCTGAGAACCAGAGATAAAAGATGCCAGAATCACTTACGCAGCCTTGTGCACCAGGACTGAGGGAGCTGCCTCTGGGCCAGGGCTCTCTGGGTGGAGCCCTGTTCTCTGTCTGTTCTCATCTGTGTTTCCAGCCTGGAATCAGCCCTTCCTTGTCTGGGGAGTCGTGCCTGGGACCTGCTGCCTTCCAACAGTGCTGTTCTGTCAACTAATTGGAAGTCTCTCTTATTGCCTTGGTACAGGATATACTGCGGGGACACCATACAAGGTCCCACCGACCCAGAGTAATACTGCTCCGCCCCCCTACTCCCCTTCACCCAACCCCTATCAGACGGCCATGTATCCAATCAGAAGTGCCTACCCCCAGCAGAATCTGTATGCCCAGGTAGGTGCACGTGGAAGCCTGGGCCCACCTCTGCTGCAGGCAAAGGAGCCACCGCCCTAGGTGGGGTGGGGTTGGGTGAGAAAGAGAGGGAGGGCAAGTTCTGGCTCTGGCCAGTTGTCACTGTTGTATCATGGAAACAATAGCCCTGTGGTCCACACACTCCCTCACCCCATCTCAGCTCCTGGGAGGGTGACGCATGAAGTCATTTAGATTAACAGAGCCTAGAATTAGCAAGAGTCCCTGGAGATCATCTAGCTCAATTCCTTTTTATACAGGTGGGGAAGCTGAGACCCAGAGAGGAGAGTGACTTGTCCAAGGTCACACAGGGAGCTATTGGTTGAGTCAGGATGAGACCCAATGTGTCTAGGCTTCTCCCTAACCCCCACATCTACCCTTCCTTGATAAAGTCCTTGAGCTAAACGGAGGAGGTAAGGGCTCAGGCTCTGTTACCAGCTCACTGTGTGATCTTGGGTAAGTTATTCTCTCTCTCTGTGCCTTAGCGTCCCCATCTGGGCTCCTTCAGCTAGAGAATGTATGTACTCTGAGGGGATGGCTATGACAGGGACTGTATGAGGCTCCGGCATGCACATGGCACATTTTTCTGGGGTGACAATTCTATGTGAGGTTTAAGTAGTGAGGAGAACACTTTGATTTAAAAAACAGCTACACTGTAGGTTAGAATGTGAAACTTTTAAAAGATAAAACAATAGGCTTGAGATGGATTTTTCTTGTTTGTGGTAAGCTGCTTTGCACTATGTTCTCAGACCTCTGGGATTATAAACCCATATTCTGAGGCTCCTGTCAGTAGTTAGTATGGGCGTTTGAGAAGCTCTGGATTAAGATGATCCAGGGGCCTGTGTCTGTTCCCCACAAAGGTCAGCAGGCCTGTGGGCTGTGGCAGCGGGAAGCAACCATGCGATCTAGGCAGTGGGAAGTCACCTTAGACCTCTGTCTCCATCCTCACCTCTGCCTAAGAGAAATAGTAAGAGACATCTGAGGAAATGCTGTGCATTTGGGACAGTTTCCAGTAGGCGAGATGGCAGTACGACACTAACGTGACTGTCGCACTAGTGATGCTTCATGTGCATGCACACAGTGCTCTGGGTGCCTTTACATTTTAGGCACCTTGCAGAAGCACACTGCAATAAGATACAAACATTTTAAAATGTTAAAATCAGGGCTGTTACCCCATTAGATCATCATAGCAGCCCCAGGAGCAAGGCAGGATAGGGTTGGAGCCTTATTTTTCATGCCACAAGCTGAACCTGATACTGAACTGTCCACAGTCATGTAGTAAGACAGACGCAGAGTCCCCGCTGGGGCCCAGACCTTGAGTCCCTGGGTCCGTGCTCCTCTGAGCCCATCCCACAGGGTCTGGGAGGAACAGGCTCCCCTCCCTTCTCCTCTCTCCATATCCTACCCTGCGTCTCCAAGAGCCTGTATGACCTCAGCCTTTGTTCGCGCAGGGAGCCTACTACACACAGCCGGTGTACGCTGCCCAGCCCCACGTCATCCACCACACCACGGTTGTCCAGCCCAACAGCATCCCCTCTGCCATCTACCCGGCGCCTGTTGCTGCCCCCAGGACCAATGGGGTGGCCATGGGCATGGTGGCCGGCACCACCATGGCAATGTCAGCAGGTGAGGGCAGCATCTGTGTCAGTGTCTGTCCCCCTTCTCCAGAAACTCATGACCGGCTGGAGAATACCGTCGTGGAATCGAGTGTAGCATAGCATGAGAAAATCTGTGCTGGGCGGTTCTGGGAACCCTGTCCACAGGCATGAGGACGATTTCACCAAGAAGGACATATTGAGCTAGGTCTTAAAGGGGGAACAGAAGCTAACCAGAGGGATGAAAGAGGGAAGAGCAGTCCAGGTGGAAAGAACATGAGCATGGCACGTTCACAGAATGGAAATGGTCCAAGACCCTTAGAAAATAGGGGCATGGAGCTGGAAGGGTGGCTGGAGCAGTCAGCAAGGCTAAAGTGGAGAGGTCCAAATACCTTTAGGTAACGGGGAACTAGCAAAGGGGTTTAAGCAGAGGAGAGATGCGTTCGGTTTAAACATTCTCTGGCTGCAGGGCAGAGGCATGGTTAGACGGGAGAGGCTGGAAGCAGATAGATCAGTGGGGAGGCTGTAGTTTAGAGGAGGGACGATGGTACTAGGACTCTGGATCTCGGAAGGAGGGTGTGAGGCAATGTTATTTAGCAGGCAGGAGCTCCAGACCCTGTCCAGTACTTAATTTTAAGGCATGGAGGACCCCTTCTCCATTTCTGGCTTATTCTAAAAATCACACCAAAGCCCTGTCCATCTGGAATCTTGAGGATTGGAGTGGAGACACCACAGGAATAGCAGGGAAGGGAAGTCTCTGGATGCGCTGACATTCAAAAGAAGAGCATGAGATGGCAAGAGGGCTACGAATAACCTTTAGAAGACCCAGCTTTTACAGAATCTTTTGAGGGAAGAGAGTACAAGGGGTCTAGTGGGTGGGAGGCAGGAGTTGGGATTTTATTCTGCCCCTAATGTAAGGGGTTGTCGAGGCCTCATTCCCCAGGTCAGGTCAGTAAGCTCTCGGTGATCTGCTTGGTGGCAGCCTTGTTCTGGTCCTGGGGACCAGTTACTGATGGATCAGAGCCTTGCCTTTAGGAACAGCCAGGCTAGGGATAAGTACAACCATATAGACCAACAGTTTCCACTTGGTAGAATAGGAGGAGCATACAAAGAAGAGTAAAAGGAGGCCACTGAAGATGAGTGAGTGACTCTGTCCTGGAGCATCAGCAAAACTTTCCCTAAGGAGATGAAGCCTGGCAAGGTGGGAGGGGCAGGCAGTTCACGAGCAGGTGGGGAGGTGGGGGTCCCAGGTTGAGGAGCAGCTGTGTGAAAGGCCATGGCTTCATCCTCTTCATCCCAGTGCCCTGGGACGGCCTCATTGGGTTTACTCTTCTCTCTGGATGCTCAGGTACCCTGCTGACTGCACCCCAGCACACCGCGATCGGGGCACACCCTGTCTCCATGCCAACATACAGGGCCCAAGGGACCCCCGCGTACAGCTATGTCCCCCCGCACTGGTAAAGCCTGCAGCCCATCCAAGTGAGTGGGGCCCGGGCTGGGAGAGGTAGGACGCTGGCCGGATACCAGGACTGCCCCTAGCAAAGCCCCGGCCTGGTCTGCAGCACAGGTATCTGCAGGGCCGGTGACCGTCACCAGCTGCTTTCCTGCTCCGAGTTCAGTGATAGCACTCTTAAGGACAGCTGTGACTTTACATATATTCTACGTACTTTACATGTGTTATCTCATAATCCTTATTATGGTAGCTCTGTGAAATGAGGATTATTAGCTCTATTTTACAGATAAATACAAAGTTCAACATCACTTAACCAGTAGGACTCCAGTCCTCTAGTACTGAATTCTGTGCTCTTCACCTCCAATCTTCAGCCTTCCTTTAACTCTGGGCCTCATTCTTCAAATGAAGTCTTACCTTAATCAGATGGAGACTTCGGGCCACTGCCCCCCCGCAGCTCCCAAGGCAGAGCCAGTGAACCACAGGGCTCCAGGGATGTCACTGTTGAATTCTCTGCCTTCCCTTCTGATCTTCCCTGACCTCCACCTCCTCCAGGAGCTCTTGGCACTGGACGGGAGGCAGGCAGCTCCACCAGGAAGGCCCAGAGGGCTCCTTGTAGGGCTCGCACAGGGAGGGGAGGGGAGGGGATCTGGTGGCTTCCTGATATGGCCTCAGGAATATCATTGTCACTAATGACTCTCCCCTTCCTTCCTCAGGTCTGGAGTCACACATTGTATGCAACTACTCAAGTCTTACACAGGTGCTGGAGCAGTCCCCTATCAGCACCACCTCTGTTTGCAAGAAGAGACAACGGAAGTGCAAGGGTCACTTTATGCATCTTTAACGGTTTTGGTTTTTATTTTTGGTTTTTGTAAAAGCTGCTTTTTCTAATCTCCTGCCTCTCCCCACTGTCCCCTTCTTAGCCGCTACCCTTCCAGCTCTGTCCCCTCCTTCTGACCAGGCACATCCTCTCTGCTCTTCGTCTCTCCTTCCCCAAGCATCTGGTCCCTGGGGACCCCAGTCTAGTGGCAGGCAGAGAGGGGGGTTTATTGCAATGGTTCAGCTGAAGATGTGATTTCCTTTGAAGAGCATAACACATGTGGCCCTCGGGTCCAGGGTAGAAACTCAGAGCTGTCGAGCAAGTTACATCTCTGGGGGATTGTTTCTTTATTTTTCCTAAGCAAGATTGGTTGGGGACATGACCATGTCCTGACACAAGGGAAAGTCTTCTGAGAACCATCGCAACAGACCAAGAACAGAACCACCTGATTAGGTAGGAGTGTTCATAGCAGCTTAATACCCCGGGTGAGAACCTGCGAAAACCAGATTCTTTCCTTGGGAGAACTTGAGGGAGGGTGGGAAGGAGGGAGGGCACTGTGGGAAAGAAGAGGGGAGAGAGGTGCTTGCCTGCTGGCTTTGGTTTGTAAGGTCTCTGGCCAAATTGTCTGGGCCTGGACCCTCTGATTTGCACAGTGTTGTTAACTGACCTGGCACTTCCTCAAAAGGTAATTTTGACCTCAGACCTGCCAAGCAGCTGCAGGGTGATGGTATCCCAGCCTCCCAAAGCCTTGGAAGGCCAGGTGCCCTATGTAATCCAGACCTTGGCCCCTGAGCCCAGTGGACCCACTCTCATAAGATGCTTCCTCTTGATTAGAGTGGGAACCTATGGCATTTCTCTCCCTTCCCTCTGCCTTTCCCAGTGCCAGGGCTCACCAGTCTGTCCATGGGGCTCTTGGTTACCTTGTGCCATTCACGGCCAAAGTGAAGGAACCACATTCCAGGTGGGTGCTGGCAGCTCTGAAGGTCAGGATAGTGAAGGAAAAGCAATAGCAATAAACATTTCATAGACTCATGGAACTGAAGGGACCTTAGCAATCATCTCATCCATTCCCCTGTTTGATTGATGAGGAAGCTGAGGCCCAGAGAAGACAAAAGGACTTCCCTAGATCTAGCAGTAAATTAGCATTAAATGCAGCCTTCCTACCTAAGGGCATGTTATCCACAAAAATTTACCTAGGGTTGGATTAGCTTGGTTTTGTAAAAATTAAGTCAGCAGCACCCACACCTGGTGAACTCTGGAACAGTCTCTGGGCTTTGGTTTCTGCTCTTTTCCTCCATGGATTCCAAAGGAGGGGTTTGAAGACTGGGCAGAGGTCACATGGGGGCAGATGGCAGGAACAGAAATTGCAAATGAGGAAATAGCATTTGGAAATTCTGTGAAGACATCTGGAACTTTCATTTTATACCGGACTCCAGCCCTAGAAGGAGCAAGTGGGCTGGCTGAAAAGGAGAATCTATGCTTTTAGGACAGTAGCCCCTCATCCTGAGAAGAGAGGAGGACAAGGATGAGGCCCAGGAGACAGGGGCTCTCATGGGAGAAGAGGAACCCCTGAGTCAGGAACCGTGGCTAGTCTCAGCCAGGAGCCCACTGTCCCAGCACTGTCCCCTGCACCCAGCTTCTGGCTGGGCCAGCAGCCCCTCTAGGGGTAAGGGGTGCAGGAACATTTTACTGTACAAAATGGGATCATCGATAACATTTGGGACTTTTAAATAACCCTTTTGATTTTAAATTCACGCATACTTGGATACACCCCTACCCCTACCTCCCATGTCTCCCTTAAAGGAGGAAAAAATCAGGAAACTTGAGCCAGAAGGACCTCAGAGGCTGTCTGGCCATTCCCAGGAGGGCAGAGCCCATCAGCGTCCAACTGAGAGCCAGGAGTTGGGGGACCCACCTTCTTGGCCTTCCGGGGAACTGCAGGACCAGTAAGGAGAACCCTAACTATTCTAAATGGTCTGTTCTAGGGTGCTGATGGGGTTTCTTTTTAAAACAACAGTTTTCCAGTGTTAATCCATTTTTTGCAAATACCTCCTCCTACTCTCTGGTTTTGTAAGGGTGGGTGAAGGTTGTTCTAGATTATGTCATACGTGTTTGGAAAATGCCAAAATAATACTAATGATAATAGGAAACCTTTGCATTTGTCAGGTGCTCCATAGATTCGAGCGCTTCCCAGTCTTTAATTTACTGGCCCTGAGAGAGAGGCAGGGTCAGAGTTCTTGCACCCATCGAACAAATGAGGAAACTGGTTCTAGAAGGAAAGGGAACTTGCCAATGTGAGCGGAATGCTAGTATCTTAATAGGCTTCTCTGAACCTTGCTGCCTCTAGGGGCTGGGTAGAACCACAGAGAGGAGGGGAAAAGGAGGAGACCTAGGAATGACCTTGTTACTTTTGTTCTTTCTATACCAGTAAGTAAAAACTAACATCTAGTACCTCACAGTTCACAAAGCAGTTTCACATCCACTCATCTGGCTTAACCCTGTGAAATAGAGTATTCCTCCCATTTGATCCATGGGGACACGGTGACTTGGGAAGGCAAAGGGACTTGCTCATCAGCGGCAAAGTCACCTGAATCCCAGTTTGTCCACTTTCCTTCCAGTCTGACTCCACACACAGGCTTGTGGACTGAAGCTTCTATGCTCTGCACCCCCTCTTTGCCCTAGTATGTAATTCCAGATCAAAGGCCCCAAGGCAAAAACAAGGTGCAGAAAGGTTATGGTCTGGAAGAGCCCAAGTCCAGCACCCCTTTTTCAGTATACGTGGTGGAGCCCCAGTTCTTCTGGCCTCCCCCTTTTGCTTTGACGGAGGTCCACAAGCCTAGCCAAGCTTGGGGAGTCATCGCAAAGGGAACAAGTCCAGGAGAGCAGGGGCAGTAGTGTGCCTTGGGCAGAAGGAACATTCCCAGTAGATCATAGGCGTCTCCTGGGCGGCATCCAAAGATCCTGGATGGCCCAGTGGTAAAGCTGGACAGAAGGTCAGCTGGAAGGGCCCGGTCACTGTAGGAGGGCCAGCAAGCCAGAGGACGAGGGGTGTGCCCACAGGACATCGTCAGCCACAAAGCTGGCACCAGCGTGCAAACGCCTGTCCACTCCACTGCTTCCCCCCCCCCACACCCCAGTACCACAAGCTTGGTGGCCAGGGTTAGGGGCACAGGTGGTTCCAGACAATAGCCCTCTTGGCTTCCCCAGCTTCTCCTTGACTCCCTTTCCTCAGTAGCCTAGGGCCCAGGAATCTGGTTCTGGAGTGCCCCCAAGTGGTCAAAACATAACCTTTTTGCCAGTTTTTGAAAAAACATCTTTTCCTGAGATACGACAATTGCTACAGCCCCTCTCTTGGCAGTAACCCCAAAGTGTACATCCCCTTAGCTAAATACTGAACAAGGCCACCTACACCTACCCACAGTTTTTTTAATGTACAAAGTACTTTGACACTGATTGCCAAATTCTCACTTTATAGATGGAAAAAACTAAGTCCCTCAAAGGCTTAGGAGACTTGGGGCACCTGGCTGGCTTGGTCGGTAAAGCATATGACTCTTGATCTCGGGGTCATGAGTTCAAGCCCTATGTTGGGCCTAGAGCTTACTTTTAAAAAAAAAAAAAAAAGGCTTAAGAGACTTGACAAAAGTCATACAGTTAAGAGAAAGAGCCCAGATGTGAACTCTTCAAATCCTCTGCTCTTTCAGTTGGCATCTGTCACCTGCTGGGTCTCCAGTGGCAGGCATGAAGAAGGGGTGAGCTATCTGTCTGCCCCAAACAGAGGAAGACTCCCAAGAGACTGGGTAGCTCAGTCCTCCCAGCTGAGATTTTTATAATGGGTGGGCCCTGGGGACCCTGGCAGCACCAGGAGGATGAGAATTGGCAACAAAAGACCTAACTTGAACAAAACACTTTGGGGTCGTGATGCCTAGGACTGAAGCCACATTCAAGGGCAGCCCCAGGTATCTGTCCATTGAAAGACCCATGGCCCTGGAAAGCCTGCCCACTGTCTGCACCCAGTGAGTCGGCACTCCCAGGGGACCTGGTGTAGCCCTGAATGGCCAAAAGCACATCTGACTTCGATGCCTGGGCTTGCTTTTCCCATGGATAAGAACCAGGACCAAAGAGTTCTTGCTGTATCCCAGCTCTTACCCCTGGCCACCCAAATTGTTCCAAGTTTGAGGTTTACTATCCCAGAGAGCTAGGGGGGCTCCTTTGGAGGGTTTGTTTTGTTCTGAGTGGCATTCAGAAATGAATCAATCACATGGAGCATAAAAATAGGGCAGGCCCCTTGGTCGCCAAGCCTGGAGCCCTGCATATCAGAATTCTTGTCTCTGCTCCATGGCCAGAGAAGGAAGGCCTGGAGGGCATGGTTCTTGGTCTTTGTGTGGTCTTAGTTATAGCACTCTGGCTGGATTAATCACTTAGATGTCACTGTGGCATTCCTCCGTTGCAGTTGAGTGAAGACACATGGAAGCTCTGCTTGTCTATCCTGTATTCTACCACATCGCTACAGTATGCGGTCCCATCTGCTTGCTGAGCTTCAGAGAGGGGCAGGTCAGGCAGCGGAGCAGAGCAGGCAGGTAGGAGATGGGCTCCCAGCAGGTGCATAGCCCCAGGGGAAGCCAGGCCCCACCCAATAGCAGGATCACAGCAGAGGAAACCTAGCCAGGCTAACCATCGAATTCCATACCTGAGCCTCTGAGATCAGGCTCCCATGGGCATGCCAGGTTGACTACAGTCCTTTACCTGTGTTCCCCTCACCTAGAAAACTTGTTTCTGAAGTTACGTATTACATGGTTCCAGGGCCCAGCCTTCAAAATTCCTGCCTGGCAGGCCAGCTTCAACATTCCATAGCCAACCTTGCCTGAGCCAGACTTGGGCCCCATTCCCTCAGTTTCTCCAATGGTGGTTTTCTATCTTGCATGCTGTTGAGTCCAGCCCAGTGGCCAACTGAGGAACACAGGGGTTGGGACTGGCTGCCACAAAGCCAGAAAGGGAAACTAGAGCTCTTGTTTCCCGCAGCTGCATCCATAGCCCCTGGGCATTCATGTTGCGGTGGTGGGGCCCTGTATCCATCCCAGCTCCCAGTAAAGTGGGTACTCTCTTTCCTGAAGAGAACAGATATTAACAGCTTTGCAGATAAGTACCAGCCCATAGGAGTCAGATGGGTGAAATCCTCTTTGGGCCAGACCCCAGCAAGACCAGCAGCTCCAGGCTCTAGCCTTCCTCCTTATGCCTGTGAGTCAGGAAAAGAGTGGGAATGCCCACAGACCACCTTCTCGGGTCAGCCAGATCATGTGGATCTGTGAGGAGACTCCAGCTCCTCCTTACCCAAGGGGAGGTAAGGCCAGGCCTCTAGCAACTTGGAAGTTGTCTATAATGACCTTTAAAAGCCCAAGGGTCTGTCCCCATCTCCTGACTAAAAGGCATTGCATCCCTATTTCATATCACATGACAGAGGAACCTTCTTGTGGCATGTAACATCCCTGTAAGAGCATTGTACATGATTTTGTATTTTTTAATTAATTTTAATCTACAGGTTGGAATCTAATTTTTAAATTTTATTGGAACTCACATTTTAAAAAAGAAAAACATTTAAAATAATAATAATAAACCTTTGACCGGTGTCTTCCAAGTAGTTTGATCAAAGAACTTAGAAGTGTTTTCAAAACACAGCCTGGAGTGTAAAGATTGGAAAGTCCCATGGCCTCGCCTTGTGTGTATGAAGTGTAAATCTGGTTTTGTTTTGTTGTTTTGGATTCTTTTGGGTTTTTATTTCATTTTATTTTGAAGATCAGATAGTGATCACTCTGAAAGATTGAAGCCAAGAATTTGTAACTATGATATTTACTGTAAGCTGTAGAACATTCAATAACTATTAAAAAAAAGTTTCCAAAAACTTTTTTGGAAAAGTCCGGGGTGACCAGACTGGTGGTTCTTGGGGCAGGGAGACACAGACCACCGCTTAGGCCAGTGAATCCCCTGGGTTTCTTCCCAAGCTCATTCTGAACTTGTTTTCACCAGTCAGGTAGCGCCTATGGTGCATCTCCCCGCAGGCGTAGCAGGGCTTCCCTGGGATTCAGCTGAGGGGCCTGGGAAGTGGCCATCAGCACCTGGACTAAGGTGGGTGATACAGGAGCCCTCGGGGGCCACGAATGATGAGGGCTGCCGTCTGCCGAGGGTCTACCATGGGGCCAGCACTGTGCTTTATGTTGGGTAACTCTCCTAATCCTCACAGCCCAATGGGAGGTGAGCCGGTCGAGAGGGGGCAGCCGGAGAGTAAGTACTTTGGCCAAGGTCACAGAGCTTGGAGCTCAAGGTTCAGAGGTGGAGCTCACACTTAGTCTAGCTCCACAGCCCAGGCACCGAGTCCCACATTCTGCCCACCCTGGAGGAGGCAGTGTGTGTGTTTATTAGTTAAAGGGTGAATTTGTCAGGTGGGAAACCAAGGGAAGAGCTTACAGGTTTGTAGTCACAGAATGACAGTCAAGGGAAGCCAGGTGGTCTCTATCCAAGTAGTCACATGCTGTCAGTTTCTATCCTGAATCTCTTCCTCCTCTCCCCTCTGCGCAAAGCAACTGCCCTAGTCCAGGCCCATGCTTTCCCTGGTCATTGTGGCCACCATGCTCTCCCAGCCTCTAAGTGTTCAACCTCCTCAACTGGAGAGAAGATGGAGGCCCCACTGACCTGGCCCACACTAGAGCTGTAATTACAATTCAGGACTCCTAAACTCTCCCTTTCTGCCACCCCGTGCCCTGTGCCTTTGCAGCGTGCCCCCCAGTTCCCCCTCCTGTCCTCACCTACCAGGGAACTCATTCTCCCTCCCTTGCGCAGTGGAAAGCTCTATCAGATGTGGGAGTGGAGGGCACCTCTGGCCACAGACTTGGTCGGGCTGTGTCAACAGCAGTTTCTCCAGGGCAGAAAAGGGATTTTCCCCAGGGACTCAGCTCCAGGTCACAGTGGTAGGACTGAGGGCCAGGAGCAGGCAGAGAGGCGGAGATCTGGGCCCCTGTCCTCACTCGTCTGGTCCCTGGGGGCGACAGGTGGAGTAAGGAGAGGTCAAACTCAGAAATCCCCTCAGCCCAGTGCCCCAGCTTGTCCTCCAGCTCCCAGGACTGCCAAGATTCAGAGGGAGCAAGCCTAGAAGAGGACAGGCCAGGAAAACTTCCAGATGAGGGTAGAGGCCCTGAAGGCCAAGGGCATTGGATATACCCCTACCTGATCCCTCAGCAACTCATCCCATCCTTTTGGGAGCTGCCCCCAAGGGACAGGTCAAGAAATTTAGGCCAGAGTCCCTAGTTTTACCTTCCAGCGAACAGACCAAGACGGGTGAGGGGGTGGTACTGGAGGGTAGCTGTGATTACCCCAGGGCCCAGCACCATGGTGGGGGTATCTTTTACCTGGCCTGGGAAGCCCAGACCCAGCCTTAGTCTCCACACCAAGATGGCATTTGGAGTCCACAGTCCAGCCTTCCCCTGGGAAAGGAGGCCAGAGAATGGGAGGGACCACTTCCCACCCCATCCACCCAGGGTACTGGCTCTTGCTGTCTCATCATCTTGGTGTGTCATCCAAGTTCTGGGGGAAGTGGGGTTGGTTGGCTGAGGAGACAGACAAGTTTGAGAAACCAAACCCCAAGATGCAGCTAACAGTTGACAAACAGGGACACCAAGTGGACCCTGGCAGCGCAAGGGAACATTTCCTTAAAAGTGCTAATGATGCCCACTAGTCCCCTACAACAGACCCCTGTTCTAGACTTTGGCAACCTTTGGTGCTCCAGAAAACTCCTCCTGATGTGCAGCCTGCTTCCTTTCCTCCTCTTGCCTAGAGCAGGTAAAGCTTTGCCTCCTAGGCCCTAAGAGGTGCCCTCCCTTTCCTGCACATCTCAGAAGCCTCAGAGAGAGAAGACTGTGTCCTGGAGAGCCAAGAGGCAGGGAGAGAGCAAATCTCAAGGCACAGCTGCCCAGCTTCTCTGGGCTGGAGTTTTCTGTGCTGCTGCTGGGCCAGGCCCCTGCCCATGGCTTCCACACAGAAGGAAGGCCCCTGCCCACAGACAAGATGGTTCTCTCGCCCTGGCGTCCTGCCATGGCCCCAGCCTTGGGGAGCCCTGCCTGGGTTGGGCAGGGGGCAGCTGTGGCCTCAGGGGACAGCAGCACCTCGGGCCACTTCTGGCTACAGCGGGAGCAGCAAGGACAAGAGAGTGACATGGGCCTCCTGTAGGCCCAGACTGACAGCCGCCCTCCCACAGCTGCAGCAGGCCTAGAACTCCCACAGGCTTCCACACCTTCCCAGGCTTGCGCAAGCATCAGTAGCTGGTTCTTCAGCCTCTCTTTGGGACTCTCCCATTAGCATTTAAATGTCTCCTTCCATCTTTAAAAAATATACCAAATACCCAGAGAACCCAGAATTAACTAAAAATTTTCTCTCCCTGGAGCCTAAGTCTCCACCAGCTATTACCTGGCACAGTCTGGCTTCTGCAGGGAGCTCAATCCACTCAGACCTGGTCCTGCTGTCACCATGTCTCCATGTCCATTAACCAGGGGCTGCAGCAGTCTTGACCCCGTGGCGACCCCTGGCCTTGTGATCCACCCTGCCCTTCACTCTCCTTCCCTCGCTTGCAGGACACCTCTCCCCTGGTCTCCTTCCCACCTCTTGGCAGTGCCCCTGAAACCGCCGAAGGGTCTGCCCTGAGCCCTCTCCTGGGCCATTCCTGGTCCAAATCCTACTTAAGTGCTTCTAGATATTCTTGTAGCCTAGATCGGTCTCTTGAGCACTCCAGGCCTTCACATCCAGATGCAGTGGGGGCTGTATCACAGCTGTCCCTAATTCCTTGACCCACGTCCCTTTACCAAGCCCTAGCAGTTCCGTCTTAGGAGTCTCTTGGATTCCCCCCACCCGTCACGCCCACACAGCCCAGCCTCCACCATCTCTTGCCTGGACAGCTGTAACAGATTCCTTGCAGAACTCCTGCTCCCTCCTCCACACCGTGGCCAAGAGCAAGCTGACCAGCCCTGCTTTTCCCCTTCCTAAATGCCTTTAAGAGGTTCCCTGGCATCCCTGGCCTAAGGGCTTCCAAGAGCGCGTGGGGCTGCCTTCTGGTGCCCACCCCCACTCTAGTCTCCACACCTGTCCCCTTCCACTTCCAGCTTCTCCAGTTCCTCGTGGTGCCCCCAGGCCTCTGCACATGCTTTGCCCTCTCTGAGGACCATGCTCCCCTTCCCACATTCTCCAGCCCCCGATGTATCTTACTTACCCATCCATCTTCCAGGCTCCACGTCCTCTAGAGCTGTGCTGTCCAAGACAGGAGCCACTAGCCACATGTGGCTACGGAGCCTTGAATATGCTAGTGCATGTTAAGATGTGCTTTAAGTATAAAATACCAGATTTCAAAGCAAAAAAATTAATGGCTCATTCATAATGTTTATACTGACTTTATATTGAAATGGAAATATTTTAGAAACACTGCCTTAATACGTTATTGATACTCTCATTTTTTTTTAATACTGTTTAAAATGTGGCTATTAGGAAACTTTAAATTACATACATGGTATGTACTGGATTTCCATTGGACAGCACTGCTTCTAGGGGCTTCAGTGAAAACCCAGTGAGGTGAGGGGCCTCCCCACTTCACCTGCTGCCCCATGTCCACCCGCTACAGAGCCAGCCCTGCAAGGGGAGGGATGGCCTGTCCCCCGCACGGTACCTGACACAGAGGTATTTGGTGAACGGACGGACAACCTGGGAAGAGGCACAGGGAAAGAAGCTCTTGATGACACCACTTTCCCACCTTTTATTATCCAATAAATGGATGGGAATGTAGACAAGGACAGGACAACAGCAAATTTTCAATAAATAAGAGAAATGGGGATGGCAGTGGGGCCCATGCCTGCATGGCCCCACATAAATAACCAGGTCACTGGGCTCGAGTGGACATAGGAGCTGGGCTGGGCAGTCGCCCGCACTGACCAGCTGGGGGACAGACACCAACACCACAGGGACACACAAACCACCGAGGCCAGAGGTGCCTCTCCAGCCCCGCACACACCCCTCTCCCTGAATGCTCCTGAGATTTTGGGGTGGCTATGCAGGCTGGCACCCTGTATCACAGCCCTACCCAGGTCAAGGCTGTGGTTCCAATTTCAATAAAAATAGCAGGGAGGGGGGCAGATACATGCATTAAGCCCCTTCTGTAGGCAGAGCCAGGGATGGGCAGCCCCATGGGGGCCTGAAGGCACAGGCCCTGGAAGCCGCAAAAATGGGGCCATAGATAAAGCTACTAATGGGAGGGGTGGCAAGGAGTCAAGCTCTCCCCGCACACGACCCAGGCCAGAGCCTGCAAGGGACTGGAGAAGTCCTGGGCCCCGAGACACCTTTCTCTCCCCACTTCACGGTCAGAAGGATGGTAACCAGGTGATGGCCAGGGACTTGCCCACGGTTAGAACCAGGGAACTCAGTCTCCAGCCCACGGCTTTTTGTTGCCTCTTCCCTTCATGGGGCCACTGGAAGAGGAGGGAGAGGTCCACGCTAGGGCCCTGTACAGAGGCGGGGGCAGTAGATTACCAAGGTGTGGGGCCAGGGGTGCCAGGCAGAGGGCCCCTCCCCACTGCCAAGGCCTAGCCACCTGGTGGTACAGAGGATCCTGCAGGGTCCTAGGATCAGGGCAGGGCACAGGGGCAGGGGAGGGGCTCTCAACCTGCTCCTGCACGCAGCACCCGCCAGCACCTGTCTCTGCACGGGGGCGGACACTCCCACCTCCAGGCCTTGGCCTTTGCTCTTCTGTCTGCTGGACCATTGCTTCTTGATCCTTATAGGCCCAGCTGCAGCTCTACCTCCTCCAGGAAGCCTTCAGAACCTCCCAGGACAGGGCCGCAGTGTCCTCAGCTGAGGCAGACCATCAGATAACCAGGTTGCTCTCACT